AGTCACAACCTGTTATGTCATTATTAATATTCCTGTCAGAGCAGGTTTTATTTTGTATATTTAATAAAGAAGCAGAGAGTCAAGCAAGCTGCAGGATGTTTTATTTCTGTGTTTGCACTACTTTTGTTTTATTATCTGAAGAAATGTAAAAGCTAACAATGTGTGCAGGATTATTTCTCTGTATTACATCCATGTGTGAATGTGATCATATGCCACACACACACACACACACACACACACCACACACACACACACACACACACACACACACACACACACACACACACACACACACCACACACACACACACACACACACACACACACACACACACACACACACACACACACACACACACACGCACACACACAAAGACACACACTCACTTTATCATTTTCTTTTATCATCCGCAGTATTATAAAGTCATTTATCATAAAAACACTTTACTGCTGCTGCATCAGCCTGTGGGGATCATTGTGGCTTTATGTAATGTAATTTAATGTTATGATTAGAAGTCACTACATAACAGTAAAATGAAACACGATTATTTTCACAGTATGATATGAAAAGGCTGCAGGTGAAGTTTGAAAGGAAAACATGTGAGTGTTATAATAACTCACATAATTAAATAATGATTGGATTCAGGGAGAGATCTTCAGACAAACTAACAAGATGCTAAACCTGTAATTCCCTTGTCTTGGAATAAAATATGTGAAAAACAATCAAGTAACGTTTTGTGATAGTTGCTGTCTGTTAAAGGAGAAGTTCAGTTTAGGATACATACAATGAGACAGGATTGTACATCTCTGGAAAGTTATCATGGCAGAAAACATGTTGTTACAGTCGTGAAGTAAACAGTAGGACAACAGCATTCACATTACTCTAAGTCATCCACCAGGAGTGTGTTTGTGATTGGTCAACGCGGTGTCTTGCCAGATGATGTTGCATTTTAGCACTGAGCTTTAGTGGGTCTGTAGTGCCGAGAGATAGGGAGTCAGAGACGGTGCAAGGAAGGTGCAAAGGGGTACTTTATTAGAGTAGAAAAGGACATGTTGTCCGGTTGCAGTCCGGGAAGAAGAGAGAGAAGTCAGGAGGGCACACAACATATATAATAAACACATAACATGTCCGTGTGGGAACAATACCCCCAACTGTAGTTCCATGTATGAATTATGAACCCAGTGTATAAATACCACCACAGGTCCATACATAGCCTTGATAATGAAGAGATTAGAGGATTGATGGCAGTCACAATCTGTAAATATGAATACACAGCTTGCAAATGGTTAGCTTAGCTTAGCATAAAGACTGGGAAAAGGGCTGAATTGTCTGGTTATGTCCTTGACATTGTTAATTGGAGAGAAGTGTAGGCCTACCCTGACAAATAGTCTTGCACATATTGTAATGTCAGTTTTGTGTATATTAAACAAACAAGATATAGCCTATGTTTTGTATTGATGAGCTAAGAGGTGGTGGTGCATTACATTACATTTAAAATTGTATCCGACTTTAAATGATTGCATTCAACCATACAGATTTGGATCAGCAAGAATCCTGAAAATACATTAGCTTAAAACATGCTAAATGCTTTGGCTACAAATAGGTTAACCCTTTAAAATGATTTTTTATGTATTTTGAAAGCAGGTGCATTCAGACGCAGTCAAAACAGTTATAACAGAAGATGTGTAGTAGGAGCCTGATTTCTTTTAAACCTCTGGCCAGGCTAACTGTTTTCTTTCTTTGTGCTAAGCTAAGCTAACAGACTGCTGTAAATTCATATTTCCCGACAGATATGAGTAATAACAATCTTCTCAACTCTCAACAAGAAAACAAATGAGCTTATTTCCCAAAGTCTTGTATGTTGTGTTAAAATAAGATTGCTTTTAGTTTCACACCAGCACCAGTATGTTATATATTAGTATGCATAGTGCAGATCATCTTCATCAGACAGTCTATTCTGTGAGTTTAATTGGTACCTCGTGAGTGATGGCGTATCACTAATCCTCAGAGACTGTCGCTGGCATGTCTGTACTGTATGGGTGTTTTAGAGAGATAGAAAAAAAGCCTGAGATAGATCAGAGGTTTAACGCACATCACAAGTTTCCTCTCCTATTTTCATGCAAACAAGGTTCACTAATCCAGGGGAATTACTGTAAATGAGCTATTTCCCTGGGGGGCCCCACCAGCACATCCATGTCTGCAAGGAAAAATGAAATGTTTGTGAAATGTTGGCGTTTATAAGAAAACGCATTTTCTTTTTGTGCATATAAATGATTTAAACAGTGGGGGCTCCTTATGAGGACTGAACTCACTTAATGTACTATCTATTTGCAGGAGCAGGTCCTCACACCCGTTGACTTTTGATGATTCATTCAAAGGCTGGGATGAAGATTAAGCATTTCAAAGTATGTAACAAGGCAGGAAACAGAGAGGAAGGAGATAAAAGTGCATAATATAGAGAAAAAGAGGGGATCAGGAGTGCCAGGAGCTAAGAGAAAGTGGTATAGATGGGGAAACTGAAAGATTGCCGCTTCTGTTTCTCCAGTCTGTTAGTTATGTGTCTTTGTAGGCTCTCTCCTGGGAAATGGAGGATATAACCCCTCTAAAGTCTCCCTGTTTCATGTAGGGTCAAGATCTTTTTGATCAGGGGTGACTGAGGATAAAAGCTCAAGAGGGGGGCGAGCGAGGGTGGGGGTAAAGAGTGTAACTGAGGAGGGAAGAATAGAGGATGAGTGACAGAAGATGGGGTGTAGGGAAAGAGGGTGATGGGAAGATGAGGTGGACAGACATGGATTTCACGGTGTCTGCTTCTCAGAAAAGATGGAGGGGGAACTCAGTCAAAGGAAGGATGTTTCTCAATCACCATCCTCCAGAGGGAGCGTGCCAAAGTTTGTTGCGGAATAGTTTCATGGATATAAAAAAAAGGCAGAGTGAGAGGGTTTCATATGACAAGAAACACAAGAGTCAGCATTGTTGGTGTGTGTTTTTGTGTGTGTGTGTGTGTGTGTGGCTGTTGAGGTGACACACACATGACATGGCAGGCGCAGAGCGTTGCTTCCATATTGACTCTCTCAGAGGGGGGGGGGGGGGGGGGGGGGGGGGCTCTACATCATAAGCGTCATATTGATTACAGAGACTATGAGATGAATGGCGGACACCAGATACTGCAGCCATATGTCCGCACAAAATCTGTGTGACCGTCACACACACATGCACACACACCAGTGGTGGAAGAATATACTTTACTACACTGTGAAAATAAATACTCCCTTTAAACTTTAAAGTAAGAGTCCTGCACATTAAACCTTAATTGATCTAAATAATTGAAGTACTAACAGTATGAGTTTCTTCACATTTTCTAAATTAAAGCACTCATTGTGCAGTACAATGTTCCCCGTCAGTGTACTTTTTTGTATGATGTTTATTGATGATGTTTAAAATCAGATAATGCATTTGACTGCTGCAGATGTTTAGGTTTAGTCTTTTATACACGGCAATGCATCATGTTCTATAAGATCATAATATTTGGCGTCATTGTTCTGTGAAAACCACATATCTCTAACAGGTCAACTTTCTATGAGCTCAGAAAAAAAACTCCCTGCTGAAGAATTCTGACAATATTTCTCTGGTTGATCCAAGAGGAGTTCTATATACAGTTGCAAGAAAAAGTATGTGAACCCTTTGGATTCTCCACACATAGCGTTGTGTGTTCTTTCCAAACAACTCAACTTTGGTTTCATCTGTCCACAGAATATGTTGCCAGTAGTGCTGTGGAACATCCAGGTGCTCTTTTGCAAATGTCAAACGTGCAGCAATGTTTTTTCTGGACAGCAGTGGCTAACTCCGTGGTGTCCTCCCATGAACTCCATTCTTGTTCAGTGTTTTACGTATCGTAGATTCGTCAACAGAGATGTTAGCATGTGCCAGAGATTTCTTTAAGTCTCTAGCTGACACTCTAGGATTCTTCTTCACCTCATTGAGCATTCTGCGCTGTGCTCTTGCAGTCATCTTTACAGGACGGCCACTCCTAGGGAGAGTAGCAACAGTGCTGAACTTTCTCCATTCATAGACAATGTGTCTTACCGTGGACTGATGAACATCAAGGCTTTCAGAGATACTTTTGTAACCCTTTCCAGCTTTATGCAAGTCAACAATTCTTAATCGTAGGTCTTCTGAGAGCTCTTTTGTGCTTCTTAAGAATAGCTAATTCAAAACTGGTGTGTATTTTTTATAGGGCACGGCAGCTTTAACCAACACCTCCAATCTCGTCTCATTGATTGGACTCCAGGTTGGCTGACTCCTGACTCCAATTAGCTCTTGAAGAAGTCTTTAGCCTAGGGGTTCACATACTTTTTCCACCCTGCACTGTGAATGTTTACATGGTGTGTTCAATAAAAACATGAAAACATATAATTGTTTGTGTGGTATTAGTTTAAGCAGACTGTGTTTGTCTATTGTTGTGACTTAGATGAAGATCAGAACACATTTTATGACCAACTTATGCAGAAATCCAGGTAATTCCAAAGGGTTCACATACTTTTTCTTGCAACTGTAAATAACTCACACAATACATCCCACTATTCGCTAAAACCGTGCTATTTCATATGCTATAACATACACAACAATTAGTAAATGACTGAAAAGAACAAATGGAAGATAGCCTAATTGAAGTAAAAACAACAAGAAACAGAACAAACTCTTATCTCTCCCTGTTAGAGGATCTTATCACAACCTGTCTCATGATACATAAACACATGGTGTACACGCCCACACACTCACACACGTTGTTATTATGTTTGCATAATTATTGCAAAAGGAGAGGAGTGTCACCTTATGAAATCAGTGTCACATAAGGCCCTCTGCTCACACAGGAGTCCCTCTGCATGCATGTCTTCCTCCAGTGTGTGCCTCTGAATATGTGGTGCTGTGCCTTTAAGCTGCAGGCGTGGCTCTACTACTACGACCCGCCCTTTTATGCATAACAGCCAACTCTCCTTCCCCCGGATCATATAGTGCAGCAGTCTGCAAAGAAAGTGACCACAATCGAAGCACATCCAGCCCTCAGAGCGGTGGGTACTGCGACCAAACGGAGACATTTACCTCAAATACTATTAACAACCGGAAAAGACGCCCATTGGATAATTTGAAACCTTTACATCTGAGGAAGAGGAGTCATTGCATTTTGGTTTGGACACCTCGCTGCGCCCAGCGGATCTATGAAGACGCGGGCAGGGTTTTTTACTCCCAACACCAGGTAAACCACCTTTTTTTTTATTTTATATACTGCAACTTTTTCCTTAGTGGCATGTTAGCACACAGGCACAGAATAAGGACAGGTTCCACGAGGAGTTTTTTATGTTTTTGGGGGTTTTCCCACCGTGACTGCTGCTGCTTAATTACCTGATTTAGAGTCGCAGCTGATTTCTTTGAGTTTAACAAGGAGGAATTGAACCGGGAGGAGGAGCTAAATATACTTTACATACGACACCGTCGTCTGCACAGGTTCATTGGCAGCCAGGAGGAGTACCTGTCTATCTAATTAATCTATTTAGTTCTAGTTTAATCTCCCTATTTTCTGCCAAGCAGTCAGCAGAAAAAACCAAAAAACTGCTCTCCTCTTGCTGTCAGTATACTACTAAAGCATTGTCATGTTTGAAAGACTGTTGCGAAACTTGTACTTCTCAGCAACGGCACAGAGTAGTTTAACTTTAACTTTGTGTAAAGATAGTCGGTGTGTCACCAGCGTTTTGTTCCACACATCTATGGTTCTCTTAAACCTTTTTATAATGACTATTTTCTAGCATTAATTGGCTAATTACATATTTCCTCAAATAAAAAAAAAGAACAAATCTGCATGGCTCCAAATCCTCATGTCTGTGATTATAATAATGAGAATAAGGCTCGGTTGTGACACTGTTGGCTCTTTCTCTCCGCAGACCGAGGGAACAGGGTGTGATTCATCCCCCCGCCCGTAAGCACTGATGCCGGGTATTAGCACCACCGCGCCTCGGTATGAAAACTGGGACATGGAGCACCTCGACCACTACCAACATTATTTCTACGACGACCACCACGACCCGGATGAGGATTTCTTCAAGTCCACAGCGCCTAGTGAGGACATATGGAAGAAATTCGAGCTGGTGCCGACCCCGCCCATGTCCCCTATCCGGGCAGTGGAGGGGTCCGGCCGGGTCGGGCTGCTCTGCCCGTCTCTGGGGGACAAACTGGAGTGGGTTGTCCCAGTTTTTAGGGCAGGACGATGAGCAGCAGCAGCAGCAAACAGCAGCAGCAGCAGCAGCAACATCAGCAGGAAATCCCCTGCAAGCTGACCACCTCCAATGACTCTTATGGGAACCTCAGCTCCATTATTATCCAGGACTGTATGTGGAGTGGGTTTTCCGCCGGACAGCAGCTGCAGAGAGTTGTAGGGGAGAGACTTGCATCCTGTCCCGGGACGGGGGCCGGTGTCAAAGTCGCCGCAACAGCCGCCTCTGTGGTTGGCTTCCCCGGGGAGACAGCAGCAGGGTGCCCCCGCAGAAGCGTCGGCTCCAAGTGGACTGGCTGCGGACTGTGTGGACCCCGCTGCGGTGCTCACTTTCCCGGTAAACGGTGGATGCAAGAAGCAAGTGTCCTCCGGTTCAGAGTCTCACACCGACTCATCAGGTCAGTAACATATAAATGGCATGTTACTATAATGGATCTTCTCCCGGCTATTTCAATAATATTCCTTATCGAAAAAAATATAAAATATGTGCATTTTCTCTATTTGCCCACCTACATTCCAGTGAGGATGAAATTGGATTTTTTTTTTCTTTATCTGACCTCATATGTGATGTGTCACTCCACCGTGTAGTTAATATTTTTGCTCTGATAAGCCATTATCTCGCAGTAGGGGTTGGCATCATGGCACATGATCACTGCATTGCGTTACCTTGGTGCATGCAACACATGCTTCCAGCCCAGAGTGACACGCCCATTGAAACATCTGCTGCTTGGCCCTGCTCCAGCAGACCAGCTGCTCCCTCCCCCTGTTCCTCCAGTCTGACTTATGATAACAATATCCTCTCTCCACACTCCCCAGCTTCGGATTTGACATGAATTCAATAAGACTGCTCATTATTATTGGAAGTTTATGTAGCATGAAAGGAAGGGAAAATTGACCCTGTGTTTAGTTATTGTATCCAGACTCCAGGCCTACTTTTGATATCCATTTCCACTCTGTTAACTCATATGATTGAGATTGGTATGTAGGCCTGCCATGTGATGTTGGACCATGCATAATGGTGTGTGTGGAATGTCACAAAGGGAACTTGTTGCTGCATTCCTCCACTCAACAGGCTGCAGCGCCAATTGTGTCAGTGGGTGGATTTGGTCCGAGCCAGCCCAGGCTGTGAATAGAGCGGGATTAGCCGTTTAGGAGGTCGGCTAGGCGTGCAGAATGCTTTGACGTGAGTTTGGAGGCTGTGTTTCACACCGTTTCAGGGGGGTAATATGCGTTCAAAGAAGAGGAGAATGAGCAATCACAGGACATACATGTGTGCTTAAGCTCCTACAAATAGGCATTATATAGGGCTGCTTGAAGGAATCAATTCTTCATGCCTTGTAATGTGAGATGACATCGTTTGTCATATAAATGTAAATAATAGACAGGCAGCCCTCCCCTCTAAAGCTTTCCCCTCTTTACTGTGTTAAATGGCGCTTAATACTTTCTGAGCAGTGAAATCCACAGAGGTGCAATTCATTTAAAAAGTGTGTTTCAATTTACAAGAGCATTGAAAATCTCTCAGGAGTCTTGTCAGTTCGCGGGAATCAAGTCAATAAGACCTTTTTCCTCGCGATTAATACCCGTTTCCACTCTGGTGGTTTCAAGCGTGTGCAGCGTTGGTTATTAGTCGGCTCATTTTAACAAGAAGAGTGCTTCTTAACCCGACCCCGACTCTTATCCTCGCTCTTGAGTGAAGAGACGGAGCTGAACTAATGCAGTGAATAATCCCTGCGACTGTGTGAGGTCATGTGGAAGTGTGCATTTTTAAGAAGCACTTATTCGTGTTAGAAAGCAGAAGTGGACTCATCTTTCAGCTGTCACTTGCAGTTATTTAGCTCATGAAACACATCACTTAATACTCTATGCTCCTTTTCAGATGATGAAGATGATAACGATGAGGATGAAGAGGAGATCGATGTGGTGACGGTGGAGCACAAGCAGCAGCAGCGTAAACCTCGTCGGATGGTCAACTCTCGCAAACCAGTGACCATCACGGTGCGAGCGGACCCCCTGGACACCGGTATGAAGCGCTTCCACATCTCCATCCACCAACAGCAGCACAACTACGCTGCCCCCTCCCCGGACACACTCCCTCAGCATGTGGAGCCGCCTCGGAAGAGGGTCCGACAGGAGGCCTCCTCTCACTCGCACCTGAACTCTCATCATCATCATCATCACCACCACCCAGCCTCGATCTGGCCACGCCCCTCTGAACTCAGACAGCAGGAAGTCTCATGTGGCTGGACTCAGGTCAGAGTCGCCTGACCTCAGCGCCTGCTCTCCTACCTCCTCCTCACCCCCTTCATCCCCTCCCTCTTCCTCCTCCTCTTCTTCCTCCTCCTCTTCCCATTCCCAGATCTCCCTCTCAAAGCCCCCGCTCCTTCTGCCACCTCTCAAGCCCCCAGTCCTCCGACTGCGAGGACACGGACAAGCGCAAGGCGCACAACTTCCTCGAGCGCAAGCGGAGGAACCGACCTGCGCTCGCGCTTCTCTCGCTGCGGGACGAGATCCCGGGCCTGGCGGATTGCCCCAAGACACCGAAGGTGGCAATCCTGACTCGAGCCACGGAGTACTTGCAGCAGCTGCATGTCAGTGAGAGGCAGAAGGCCCAGGAGAGGAAGCAGCTGAAGTCCAGACAGCTGCAGTTGCTGCAGAGGCTGGCGCTGCTCAAACGCTCCTGAGCGACGTGGGGGAAACCGGCTCTCACCACACGCACACAAACACTCACAGAACTGAATACATGAAGGAGAAGAGACACTAATGTTCACTTTGATTTGATCACGTTGGAATAGTGCGGGTGGATTTAATTGTTTTTGTTTTCTATTTTTGTGGTTTGCACATTTAGCTTCTGAGTGATGGACAAGGCCGTAAGCTGGTCAGGACGGCAAGCTAGGGACTGATCTTATAGGGCGTTTTTACGGGCAGATTAATATGTCCATGGTTATTGAATATAGGTTTCATGCTATAATCCCCCACTTGCTGAAAAATGCTCAAAAATGTTGCTTGTTTACGGGAAGGATTGCTGTGAATGAAGCAGCTGCTAGTTGATCAACTCACATTTTTCTACCTGCTGCATGGTCTGGTCAGATGATTTCTTGATTGTGATGGGGCTTACCCAGCAGATATGTCCTCTCTTTCTGTCTGTCATTTTCTAAAAGGCCCTCTATAGATTCTAATGTGTTGTTCTTTACAGCCCTTAGCTCCTTAGCGCTTGGCAAACAACTTTCACATTTTGTTATCAAGTTGTGCCTTGTTTCTGATCTGTTTTCTTTCCCATTTTCTTTTCTATTATTCTCGATCTAACCTCATTTTCTTGTTCTTTTCTTACCACCGTTTCCCTCGTCAGCAGTTGAGGCATGTAGCTTTTATGCTTGCTGTAGTGGGACTGTACTGAGCCATGTAACAAATGACGTTACAACTGGATACAATATATTCTGCACCTCTGGAATAGCTCAGGTTGAGTCCTAAACTTCTGTGCCTGCAGGTTTTCAATTCAGTGTTTTCCTCTTGCATCGTAGACATTTCAACAGCAGCACCACGCCCACAGTAATGCCTGATTTGTAGCATTAATTGGATCAAGAAAAATAAGTTGCCATAGAATTTCTTTGAGAATAATCGTGTTTTCAATCAAAAAACACTATGAAGATGTTCACCAGGATCATTATTGTTATTGTTGTGCCATGGAGACCAGTGGAAAGTTGAATGTTGGCTTCAAATTATTATCAACCAAAAAAAAGATATTTTAGAGAATGGCTTCATTTAACCTGTATGTTTCGAGACATTTAAAAATGCCAACATTTGCTTTGAGATGAAGCCCAACGAGGTCTAACTGTACATTTCTTTCATCTTGCTGTCTGGTCAATTTGTTTTTGTTTTTGCATTCAGTGTAACGCCTATAGAAGCCTTTCAATGTACGTAGACTATCCTGTTGGATGTTATGTTTATAGTTCCCTTACTGTACAGTCCCTTCCAAACCAAAACCAGAGCTGTCTACTTTACTCATCCTAGTTTTTGTTCAGCCCTAAAGCTTGCTGGCTTTTCAAAGATAACTCAAAGCTTCTATTTTTGTTAATAAAAAGATTATGAAAAAGAGTCGAAATGAAACACTTACTGAACATTGATCACACTAGACACTTTGTCGCCAGTTTTTTTTTTTTTTTTTGCGAAGCCTACTTGTTTTCATTACTGTGCATTGTCTGTTTCTGGGGTTTGATTTATTTGTACAAGTTCACAAAAGTTTTATACTATATTTTCCTACAGAGTTGTGTTTCAGTGTGAGCTAATGACTGTTTTTGTTATTGTAGCTGGTGGGGCTTTATTGGTGGTTATGTGCTGAAAATTGTCTGCTTTTTATCTGGAGTTGAAAGCACCTGAATGCTCCTGTCTTCAATCCAATCACTGTAGCTGTAGCACTCTGTTAAATGTTTCGCGGTGTGCAGGGAGGAGGGAGGACTTAAGAGGATCTACCGATTAAACTTGTGTGTAGCCTTGAGTAACCTTATGCTTTCCCTCTGCCTTTGTTTTAGTTTTTTTGCAAGGCCGATGCCCCCTATTGTTCCCATAAGCCATGCAACAGAACACTGTAGCCCTGAAATAGTACTGTAAATGGCATGAGTAGCGTACTCTGCTATTACTAGCACTCAGGAAACTCCCACGTGTAGCTTGTAGCTATTCTGATAGGGCCAGAGGCTGCGCTTGAGGAAACACCCTCTGCTTTATTATGCTGTAACATAAACACAGACCCACACTGATGGAAAGAGAGCATTAGATCAGGGGAATCATCATGTATGTGATTACATATTTATGTCCCCCTTTCTAATTCAGCACAAGCCACCATAAGCCCTGGTTTTTATTTTCTCTCAATAGGGTGCACCCACAGCAGCCCCTTTTGTTTATTGTTTGACTTGTATTGGTCACAGGTTTCTGCTGTTGGCACAGTCAGTGGATGTTGCTTACTGACTTTTGGAGTTTAACCATGGTGATTTTGGAGCCTTGTTTCAGCACTTTGTTTTTTTCTGTACCTCATAAGCCTCTATGTATGACGAGTAAGTCCGGTAAATAATAAATTCATGGTTTGACATCATAAATTATTGTTTTGATTGTTCTGGTTGTTTCTTGCACACACACTAATGAATGATCATCTCACCTGTTTTTTGACAGCACCTTGGCCAATAAAAACATACAAATAAATAAAAACAAAACATTCATAATTCTCTCCTTTTTTTGAGAAGCTAGTGCAGTAGCACTTACTTTGGTTATAGATAGGAAATGTGCAGGATTCTTGCTTTTTAGTTTGTTTCTTCATGGTTGAAGTTACTGCGTCAGCCAAATGAAATGTAATGTTATCTTATAATTGGCTTGAAATACTATTACATCTTTAGGTGGTTTTTTTCAGAGTATTTTTGTACTGCTCACAATTGTTTTCCATTAAAACCACCTGTACGAGTAAACACTCATCTCCCTATTCACCATTTCCTCAGAGCAGTCTCCAAGGTAACTGATCCTGGCATCTTTGCCATGGCAACAAGCATCTGCAGCAGAGCTCCGTCAGTTTCCATAGAAACAATTATAACTACGCTGCAATCCACCATGTAAAGGCATTTCTTAAACACCGTTAATGTTATAAAAAATTGCATAATATGTTCAAAAATGCAGCAAAAAGACGAGATACATTCTTATTGACAGATTTTTTTTTTTTTTATCCAATTCGTAACATGTAAGTCTGCAGGAAGCTTTGAATTCACACAAAAAGTCAAAAAACTGAAAAACAATTACATTCTCGAGCAATTACATTCAATGAGTCTCATAAAGATGAAGGAACCTTCACACTATCCACTGCTTGTTGCCTAGTAACAGAGCCAACCTCTCATCTCGACGCCCTATGCGCATGCGCTGTACCAGTCAGCTGGGCGCCTAGGAAAGAAGCATCATGGCGGCGTCCGCTGCTAGCGTGCTGTGTGGCTTACGCAGAGCCATTGGTACCGTCTTTGGTGGTGATTTTAGGAGCTACCGGCACCGGGAAGTCCAAGCTGGCGATAGAGCTCGGAAGACGGCTTCAGGGAGAAATAATCAGCGCCGACTCCATGCAGGTAGGAGGACTGTTAAACTCCAGGAAACAAGCAGGGAGTCCTTGACAAGGCAGCCATAATGCTCTTGATAGCACGCTAAACGTTTGAAATAAGCGAGTAAAGTCAAACTAAAACATCTGCTGTTCAGTCAAATGATTACAGACGTGCATACAAACTAGTAGGCTGTCTTATAACTGTGTGTTTCCGAATGAGGAGTTTGTATGTAGCGATATTTATGCTACCCACGCAAGCTAACAGGGGTTAGCTTAGCTTAAATCAGCAAGTCAGGTAATGAACATGACTTAGTTTGTCAATGTAATGCGGCCATTCCTCTACCATGTTCATTAAAGGTCTACACTGACTTTTATCCAGCTCTAAACCTCACCTCAGGTGCACTGCAGGGAGACACAGCAGCTGGAGAAAACAGACATTTAACACAGTCATTAGAGGTCTGTTTGAATGAATTAAGTCATTTAAACTTGTCCTTTAAGTCTTTAAAAACTCACACACAGGTAATAGAGGATATTAACATAGAAGCATTGCTATCAGTTGATGTATACCAGCTGGACTGTCATGTCTAGCTTCTATCTCTTAGTCATGGTGCACACTTTAAAAACTAAAATATATGGATGTATTCAATGTTGTTGACTGTCGATGAAATGCATGGTAAAGTTATCTCAAGACCCAAGGCTGTGGTTTCTAAGCTTTATGATAATAACAGACATGTTTTATTAAGGTGTAGTAAGGTTACAGAACATAATTGTTATTGTAAGTTTAGTGTGACAAGTACAATTAAATCCTGAATGAATCCTTGATCAACCATATCTTAAGACAAACATTTCAAATAACATGAATTTAAATGAAATATCCATGCAGCCCAGAAGAAGGAAGTGCACCAATGGATGTAAAGCATGGATTTGTTTCTGTCTAGAACTGTACTATGAACATCTACTTTATACAGTATGTATATTTGACAATAAGAGTGACATGTACAATATGAGCCAGACATATTAGCACCATTTTTGACATTGTTAGCAAAATAAAATACATTTACATTGACACAAATTCAATGTGTTTATTAGAGGATATAAGAATATATATATATAATTAATTTATAACCATTCTGCCTTTTGGCATTTTTTGTGTATAAATAACACTAATAGAAAAGGTATGTTACTTGGGCTTGCAACAACTCACTATTGATTTTAATCTGACAATTTGATTATGGTTTAATAAAATAAAAAGTAGTGGAAAAAATGGGGCCATCCACATTTCTCAAAAGTCAAAGGTGATGTCTTGTTTGGTCTGTTTGAAAAAACTCAAATATGCACTTATATTTGATATATAGTGGTGCATTAATAGATAGGCCTCTACTTTAATTTAGTTATCAATATCAGGAAATCTAGCTTATAATTGTTCTGTCTGTCTAATTGATAAGTCCACTTATTGTTGCAGCTCTACACATTATCTCCTCTTCTAGAATGTTGACAACTTTCAAATAAATATAAGGGTTATATGACAGAATATTTAAGATGAATAAATATAAAATGTTATATTGTAGCAGTCGTTTTCTTTAGAAATAATACAGTGTGGACTCTGTTCTATTTATGAGTGAATGGAATCCAGTCATAAATCAGTATACTGTAACATTGAACTTTTTGTCATAAAGAAATGTTTGTTTGTTCTTTTATCACTGTCTCCTATTGTTTTTGCAGTTAAAATAAGCATAGATTGCTATATTTAAACCATAGGACATACTTTCTCACTTCCACTTGTGTGTGTGTCACAGTGACATTTATAAAACTCCAAGGCGTGGTGTCGTCGCTCCTCTCTCTCTAAGCCCCGCCTTCAATTTAGGTTCTCAGGCTCTGTTGCTGCACGCAACGAAAGGGCACGCACGCGAGAAGAAAAAAGGTTGGGTTACCCCAGCGCTCAGATGAGGAAACACCGACTTAGGACTTAGACACACAGTGTGACCGCTACATCTAAAGCAGCCTGCAGTGATTCCTCTCTGCAGAGTTTCATCACCTTGCTCCTGTTTCAGCTGTCTCTCTCTCCTCCTTCCTCCTCCCCTCCTCGTGGCGTTGGCATTTGTCCCTTGGAGTGTTGTGTCCCTGCGGGGGAGCGCCTCTTCAAGCAGTCACCTGGTACTGGGTAAACTGGGTTACGCTAATAACATTTCAGCCCAGAATATCTCAACGACCCTGCGTGTTGGGAGAGAAACCGTGGCCTAGATACGGCACGGCAGCCCCGGCCTATCTCCACAATCCTTGGCCTTGTTGCCTCCTGTTGGTGTGTGTGACAGCCAGGCAGACATACAGAGAGTGAGAAAGGGACTGCTTATGTGAGAATGAGGCTGTGTATAGGCTAGAGCTGCCTGTGTTGTCTTTGGGATAGGAAACAGTCTGGCTCTTGTTTGGGAGAAAGCTGCATTGTGCTGAGCTGGTGCATATTCAGCGCACGTGCTTCGCCGGCCCAGCAGCTGATAGTGAATGGACACCGCTTGTGGCCACTGGGAAGTGTCTATTGTCCCGGGGAGAATCGGTTCCCACACTCCCCTAACACTCCTATTGTGTTAAGATCAACCCCCTGCCCCTGGCCCATTCCCTCAACACACAGTTCATTGGACATGCAGGGGGGATATTATTCACTCATTAAATGAACATGCTATCCATGACACACACACACACACACACACACACACACACACACACACACACACACACACACACACACACACACACACACACACACACACACACACACACAAGCAAGCCCTGCTGTACTGTCCAGGGAATGAGGCACTGCCAAATAGTGTAAACCCACGGTTTCCTAAAAGTCTGAGCCCAGGGACCAGCGGGGGTCCCTCCAGCAACAAACATCACTGTTCCCCCGCTCCCTAGTTGGCATTTGGAATTATGGGAAAATGTTTGGGTGTACAGTATGAGCATATTTAAAAAGAAAAACGTATTACAACCCTCACTGTACCTCACCCATATTATAGCAAATGTGTGTCATAGGGTGTCTCGTGGGTGTGAAATGTCTCTAATTAGCCAGTTATTTCAAGCCTTTGGAAGCTTTGCACCATAATCCAAGTTCAGTACATTGTGCTAAAATATATTTTAAAGTGTTTTTTTTGCCCTTTTTACTTTTTTTTATGGATGGATGCAAATACAATATTTATTAGATATCTGAAAAATACTGATCAAATAGCTGGATTGGTATTGGTGACAATGAGGCCTATCTATGTAATTCTATGTTTGTATAATATAAACACAAACATTTTAATACGATACTCGAAACCCAGGTATTGGAAACGGGAGAAAATATTCAAATATTTCTTGTAGTGCATGTTCACACATTTTTAGTTTCATGTTTATTTAACTGTTTACAGTTAAAAATACTGTTATTACTATACAGTAGCATTCAAATATATTGGTAGACTGTGGCATTTTCTTAAGGTTTCGGAGATTCCTATTTGAGCTCCTGGGCCCACTCTTTGGCAGTGATAATCTGTGTCTACTGGTTAGTAAGGGACATATTTTTGGTTGGATAGGGAACATTTTTAAAAGTCTCTAGGATGTATATTGTGGCTTACATTTTCAGTTTGAGAAAGGTTATACTAAAACTGTACATTTCTGGTATAGTAGGACTGTAGGTAAGCGTTAGGATGACCAGTAATGTGACTACACATTTGGAATGAATGTGTCGTCTCAAATGTTCATATAATCATTTCAAATCGTATACATATGTCTTATACTCTGATTGCCTTTTACTCGTTTAAATAGTATTTTTAGTCCTATGTTTAACAGAGACATATTTTTAGGATTGACATTGCAGGAAGGGCAAAAGCTGGCTTTGCAAATGGTTAAGGACTGGGGGGTTTTATGGTTTAATGGTGGGGATGTTTAGATAATGCCTAAGAGAATTGATGGGTGGCAGACGCATGAGGCAGTGACGAGGAGGAAGAGAACCGATATCCGAGGGAACAAATATCCGCCATGTTTGTTAGCCACCCTGCTAGCATATCAACGGCTAAAGCTACACGGAGCCTCCCTCCCCCCACCACCCACCCCACCGCTCCAAACACCACGGTAGGCCGCAAGCCGGTTGCTGTAACGGACAAAGACAAATATCTGCAAGCTGACGACATTGTGCATTTAAGCAACAAAAATGGACTACATATTTTTCATCTGAACACTAACAGCCTGAGACACAAACTGGCTGAACTCACGCAACTATTCAAGCATATTATGCTTTTATGAGACCAAATTGGACAATTCCATTACAGATTCAGAGATTGAAATTGAAGATTATCTTGTAGTGAGAAGGGACAGGGAACGTGAATGGAGGTGGTGTCTGCATGTACATACATAAAGACACCAATTTCAAAAAACCGTACTGACCTGCATCATGAAAATATTGAATCTGTGGGTTGAAATTATTTTTGACAATGCTAATCTGTAATAGTCGGGACAATCTATAGACCACCGGAACAGAGTGACTTTTATGATACATTAGATGGATGTTGGCTGATGTGGGGGATGTAAGAGACAATTATTATTGGAGACTGGAACACGGATATGCAACGTAAAGACACGTCCGTCTTCAAGTCCTTCAGTAGGATTTGTGATCTGCACGGCTTCAGCCAGCTAATCACCCAACCCAGACGGGTATGTGAAACAACACAAACTACCATTGATCTCATTCTGACCTCTGACAAGTCCAGGATCTCCAGTAAAGGGGTTATAGCATGCGGTTTATAAGTGATCATTATATGATATTCTGTACCCGCAAAAAGCTAAAACAAAGGGCCGGCTGTCACAAAACAGTCATATCTAGAGAACCTCAAAAACTACTCTAGCGAGGCCTTTAACCTAGAACTGGAGAGCCTGGACTGGTCAGATGAGCTCAGTGGTACACAAGTTGAAAGAAACATGGCTTGGTTTCAAAAACAAATTCTCTGCAAAAATGATTTGGCCCCCCTAAGAACAACCAGGATAAAAAAAAATCGCGCTGAA